AATAATAATAATAATAATAATAATAATAATAATAATATAATAATAATAATAATAATAATAATAATAATAATAATAATATTTAATTTGTTAAAAAAATTCAAACAATAATTATAAGTGATTAATAATATTTTATTTAAATTAAAAAATTAAATAGTTATAATTGATTAGTTTATGAGTATTAAAGCCACATATATTTAGTGAATATAATGTTGTTTTAATATATCAATGCATAATTGAAATAAAATTACCATTAATTAATTTACATCTCTATTAAAATTCTCTGTTAAAAAAATTAATACATTTATTTCAATAAAAAAACTGATACATAGTATAGTAGTCGTATTTACGTTAACATTCATATATATAATTCATATTTATATTATTTAACATTTTCTAACTCTCATATAGATATTAATTTATATTAATATTAATATTTTTATTATTCATTATAAATATTTCTTTTATTATCTTTATTTAATCATTTCATCACACAGCGGATCTCTATTTAGCCTCTCATCACACATGATAATTTTACAAACAATTATGTTATCTAAATCGGTATTTTGTATTGTTTTTTTGTTTGTATATATCCTTTTCATGATAATTTTAATATTTGAGATTTCAGGTCGTAAGATATCAAAATGACTATTAAGGATTAGTATTGTAAACATATCATCAAATGTCATATTTTATATTTTATTTTACATGATTAAATTTATGCGTTGTTGTTTTGTTGTTATATGGATTAACATGATCTTATTTAATTTTTTATATTAGTAAAATATTATTATTTATAATAATTTATACTATAAAAATAAAATAAAATCTTTTATTTTTAAATAAAAAAGTAATATAATATAATCTAACCCATAAAATTTTTAAACTTTTTTAAATAAAAAAAACAGCAAGAGACTATTACACTTTCTCTAATTTTAACATATTAGATTTAACAACATTCAATTAAATCAATCCATCCAAAAACAAAATATTTTCAACTAACACAAATGTATTACATTTTGACATTTAAAATTTAAAAATTTTTAAAAATAATCTAGATTTTCTTTAAAAATTAATAAAATAAAAACTTATAAAGATAAAATCTTTTTTTTATTATTATTATTATTATTATTATTATTATTATTATTATTATTATTATTATTATTATTATTATTATTATTATTATTATTATTATTATTATTATTATTATTATTATTATTATTATTATTATTATTATTATTATTATTATTATTATTATTATTATTATTATTATTATTATTATTATTATTATTATTATTATTATTATTATTATTATTATTCATAACTAAGTTTGTATACATGAAATTAATGACAATTGTTATTGTTTTTATCACAATTTATTTACTAATTTATTTATTTATTTATTTATATGTGTTTATCTAATTACTATATTTATTATTATTTATTTTGTAACATCAATTAGCTTTATTGCCTATTTTTCTATTAAATAACCTTAATAATATAAACAACTTAAATTTATAACAAATTAAATAGTGGCCGTTATTAAATTTTAAAACAACCAATTAAAAGATAAATTAAAAAAAATAATCATAAAAGAGAAAGAAAATTTATTTTTAAAATTTTTAAATTTAAAATTTAAGTGTTATTACCCATTCTTAATTATTATACATAAAACTAATAACAATTATTTATATTGCTATTTATTTATAATAATTATTTACTAAATTTGTAATATTTTGTCTCCCGAATAGAAATTCTTCATTTAATTCAGTCATTTAAAATTTTACAAAAATTTAACTACGAAATATTATCATTAAAAAATTAACTTTTTAAAATCGGTCCTTATAACAAATGTCATTATTTTAGTATTTTTTCAATCTTTTGATTATACTATATTCTATAATAAAATTTTATAGATAAAATTTAAAAGCATTTTACTATTTTTAATTTTTTTTTATATCTATATTACTATTTTTTCTCATTAACTTTAAAATAAAATTTAAAAGTCTATTATTATTATTATTATTATTATTATTATTATTATTATTATTATTATTATTATTATTATTATTATTATTATTATTATTATTATTATTATTATTATTATTATTATTATTATTATTATTATTATTATTATTATTATTATATTATTATTATACATTTACATAATAATATCACAAACTTAATTTAATTTTCTCTTTTTTTTGGGTCCATCTATTTTACATACTTCCATGTTTAAAAAATAAATTTTATATAATTAATTTAAAATAGAGAATAATTAAAAATATAAATATCATCTTAATATATATTTATCATTTCTAAAATATAAGCTAAAAAATCTCTCTCTTCTATATTTCATATTTAAATTTAAACAATAAGTAAAAAATTAATCTAAATTATAACTTAAATGTTAAACTTAATATAGTTCAAGTAGTTATACTCAGAATGTTTAAAAAATAATTTACTTATTTTAATATATAAATGAAATCATAATAAATATTTTAATAATCTAAAAAATAATAATATAAAACATTTTTTGTATTATTGTTTCACATTAAAAATTTAATTGTATAATTGCTAACATAACTTAAATGGTCTACAAGACAATTTTATATGTAAACAAAAACTTAAAATATTAATTATTATAAAAAATATTATTTTATTTTTAATATACCTGTGCAGAACACGGGTCGACAATCTAGTTATTTATCAATCATATCAATTCCAAATCATATTTAGAGATGGTAAAGTGAACGGCCTGATCTATTTAGACTATCTTTATTAAAATCCATTCAAAAGTAAAACATATCAATTCAGATGTTTGAGTTTAAAAGTCAAACTCGCCCCATTTATATAATTTCATTCTTATAAAAATTACTTGATATTTAACGTGTAATTTTCCTCATTAATGGACATAAACCCTCCATGTATCCCTTTATTTCTTTTCTTATCCTCCCTTTGAGTATAAACAATAGAATACAATTATCATGTATAATTTATTCTATTAGTTAGATAATATGTAATGATCTATTAACAAATTAGCTTTGTCCTATACATGTAGGAGGGGACAACTTTTATGTGTATTTTAATGGAAGAGCGACTTTAAATATAAGGAAGAATTTCATACAAAGATAGTGACTCACAAAAGAGTTATGATCCATGTTAAGTGCAGAAAATGAAGATCTATTTTGTAACACTTTGATAATGACATTATCTTTAGGTTATAAGAAGAGTCATGCTCTTAGAACATTTATATCCATGATATTTATTATTTTTTTAAATGAGACCTACACAATTTTTTTACATAATTTTGTATTTTTAATTATTTAATTAATTCAACTACATTTTCTTAAATAATGATATAATTCATAAAAAAAAATTTAAAATGAGCCATATTTAACTCCATAACATTCTCCACATTTGACTAAAAATTAATAGGGTTAAAAATATTTTTGATTTCTATAAAATTACTTAATTTTATTTTTGTTCTTATAAAAAAATTGCATGTTTTGGTCTTTATAAAATTATTATGTACGCACTTTTAGTTATTTCTGTTAAACTAATGTGAATTTTTGAATGATTATTTTTCAGACATGTTTAAAGGTTATAAAAAAATTTCTTATAAAACTTGATTTCTAAGTTAAGTTTTCATTACTTTTATTATTATCTTTTGAAATTTAAAAATATCTTTTGAAATTTAAAAAATTTATATTTAATTCTTCTCATTTAAAAAAAATTATAAAATTTGATAAAAAAATATTTTATAATATTTTAAACATGTATGAAAAAATTTATTCAAAAATTTAAAAATTTAAAGATAATCAAATAATTTTTAAAATTTTAAAAAATAACAAGAATTAAAACTACGTAGGTAAAACTTTTATAGGCACTAAATTATCTTTTTTTTTTATATAAAAATTAAAAATAAAATTAAAAAAAATTTATAAAGAAAATTTTTTTTGACCCAAATAAATAAATATTATTCTTTAATTTTCTTTAGTTTGAGACGTGTGATAATTGAAGATCGATTCTCTTAAGTAATTATTCATCAACTTTTGATACATTAACTTTGATAATAATACAACAACCACAAATTTTAACCTATAATCATGCTTAAATAAGAAAAATGCACTATTTTAAAATTAGATTAAAATGTAATATTTTTTTGTCTTTTAAATAAGAAAAATTGTGTATTTTAACTTTAAAAGGGAAAGAAGTGTAATAGTTTTTTTTATAGAAGATAGAGCTAAAAACATGAAGAAAAAAAAGTACAAACTAATAACTCTTACATTCTCATCAACTTGACAAATATGTTCAACTTACTTTTATAAAAAAAATTTAAAGAGAAGGGAATGCAACTTACTTTTATAAGAAAATTAGTGTAAACAAAACAATAAAATGTGGCTAAAATTAAAATTTTTAATAAATAATTGTTTATACTTAAAAATAAAAATCCAAAAATAATTGATTTAGAGTATTTATTAGTAACAAGTTCTTAAATTTATAATAATAATAATTATTATTATTTTTGTTTCCATGGCTCAGTCACTCCTTTATCAATGCAATGTCATCTCATGAGAGTTTTTTCTGTGTGCTCTCATAGCACGTTTCTGTTTTCTTTCCCACTGTCACTGTCCCTCCCTTCTTCAACAACGACACTAGTCTCTCCTTCTCCCAACCCATCATTCTTCAACCCCACACCACTAATAAAACCATTCAACTTTCTTCAACCTCTTCCATACCTTGAAACTTTTCATTTATGGACTTGAACCATACACTCACCTAATCCTATTCCTCAATTCTAGATTTTTTCTATGGTTTTGTTATAATATTTCTTTATATATTTGTACATATATATATATATATAAATATGTGGTTTTGTTTTCTATTATTATTGTTGTTGTTACACAAACCCCAAAGCTACAAAGTTTGAGACATTTCATGTTGTTCTGAGAAAACCCTGTTGTTGTTTTTTGTGTTTTTTTATCTTGTTGGGTGTGAAAATGTCATCTTTACAGATGACCCATGTTGATTTAGAGCAAGGAAATCATCAACATCGTCGTCATCATCAACATCATCATAATCCTAGTTGTTCTGTTGTTGGAAGTGATGTGAGTGGTGAAGGGAGTTTGTGTTTCTCTGATGCTGATGATGGTTCAAGCTATTCTCGATTCTATTCAACGAATGGTGGTTCTTATGATGATTACTCTTTTGCTTGTGTTTCTGATGATCCTGAGCTTGGATGTGGTGGTGTTGGTGGTTCTGCTAGAGTTTCTTCTGTCACTGATTGTTCTGTTGAAATTAGAATTGGGGTTCCTGAGATTAAGGTGCATTTGGTTAAAGTTGAGAAAGATTGTAGGATTTGTCACATGGGTTTGGAAAGTGAGAGTCATGAATCTGGTTCTCCTATTGAATTGGGTTGTTCTTGTAAAGAGGATTTGGCTGCTGCTCATAAAAACTGTGCTGAAGCTTGGTTCAAGATTAAGGGAAATAGGTCAGTCTCATATGAAACACTTGTCTTTCTCCTAATTTTAACTATCAAAATTTACTTTTTTTCTTACGATAGATCTTGAACATTTTAGCTAATTTAGACACCCTTTTGTTTATTGATTGCATTGAGAGAATTTTCTATTTGTGATTAAGATGATGCCAGAAGCACGATCATGCATTTTACAGTCATATTCGATCTAATTGAATGCTAGACACACTGACACTGGCGTATAATCTGTCCCTGATGAAAGTAATTGAATGTAACCACGTGTATTAGTGTTAAGTCGGCTTCAATCTAAAGCTTTGATGGTATATAGATTAGAGAATAATGTTGATTGAAGTTTTGTTTAGTTATTGGTGGAATGGATTGTTGAATTGATGATGAGTGTAAAGATGTATAAGATGATGAAAAAAGCATTTAAAGAACAAATTTTCAAGGAAGCAAGCTCAATTATTTTTCTTCAAGAAAGGGTAAAGTGATAGAAGATTAAATAATTTAAAGAAGGTTGATGGAAAAATAAAGGCTTAAAGCATCAGTCAGTCTTACTGATTTGCTGACATGTCTTAGTGCAGTGGGATTCTTTGTTGCTTTCTTCCTTTTCTCAAATTTAGGAATCTCTATACTCTTCTTTCTAAATTGTTTTTATTTATTTATTTATTTTCTCTCTTTTAAAGTTGAGATTTGACCCCTTCTGACTACTATTCTTGTATACAAAAAAATATCTTGGTGCTTGATGGTTGCTTGCTGATGTGCCTTAGAGAATATTTTAATCCATAATAAATCACTGGTCCCGGTTAATATAGGTGTTTAACACGTGTTGGTGTCTAATATAGACAAATATGATAACATTTGGTTTATTTATTTATTTCAAATTATTATCGGTATCAACGAGGCGGGTTCGTGTTTGTGACAGTGTTAGTGTTTAATATTATTGTGATTTGTGAGTACCATAAGCTACTGAATTGACAGTACTATTGTCCAGATTCTTGTTGCAGTTCTTTGAGGTAAAACATATTCATACTTTAGGTACATGTTCTGCATATTATATAATATCTATGACTGTTACACAGTGGTGCAGTGTTTTTCCTTAATTTTAATTGCAACAATCTCTGAAGTCTGAATAAAAACGAGTTGTTTTTTGTGCTTTTGTTAAGATATGAATGGACATAGTTTATTATTTGATTGACTGGTAAACCTTCCATGGTTCATTGTCAATTCAAAAGCATTTT